GGGGTTAACAGAGAGCATCTGTTATGGTTCGGGGGGCGGCCCTGACCCCAAACCACGGCAGCATTAAACTACAAATAAGAGCCATGTAATAATGATGAAGGGCCCCATAGTACGAGTCTACTGGTCTTCCATTTGTCACAAAAGTTTCTTAACATTAATGGTCATATGCAAAGAAGAAAAACTGTGCACTTCTCTCGAACTTAGAACAGAAATTCTCTAAGTTTCTCCATTAGCAGAACAGTAGCTCTGCTTAAGCCCAAAATACCTGCATAAACATTAAATTTAATTTCTCTAACCTATCATCCCACACACGGTTCTCACCTCTCCCTCTGGAAATTACTTACTTTGGAGGAACATCATTGCTTCATTTTTAAAATAATTTTAGAGGCCTCTATTGCAAACTTCACTTCCTTTAAAAATGTGGCAGTTCTCATCTGCAGTTTGCTTTAAGAACTTCCACATAAGCCCTTCATATTCTGACCAGAAAACCAAAGCTACGAAGAAAATTAACAGGAAATCAACAAAATAAAGCAACTTTAACTTCTTGCTTTTAATAGCCAAGACATCATTTCTTTACATTATCTTCTTATAAGTGAAGATACTGCTCTAGATGCTAGAAGACTGGGATTTTCATGAAAATCAAAATGCTGAACGTAGCTTTGGAGGGAAGGTGAAAAGCTTTCACACCAATGTCACTCTTACAGGTGCCTGTTTGATTTTAAAAAGCTCAGACCCATCTTTGTGTCAAAAGATGGCAGAAATAGCCTGCCAACCACGAACTCAATGTAAACAGATAAAAATGCATCGATATTCCTCTTCTGGGCAGCTCTCTTGCACCTTACTTGACTGCTACCTAAAGTTTTTTTCCACAGTACAGGAAAATTAAAATTTTTCACCTCTAACCTCTGCTATTAAGAACAACAGTTCTGCACAGGATGTAGAAGCAGCAGACTAATGAAACACCATTCGAAGGCACACAGGCACCGCATTAGCTGACAGCAATTCCAGTTTTCGTCATTCAGCCATCACTAATTAAAGTTCTCTGCCTAAGGTTCTAAATTAGTAGTACAGTACATCTATATAATCAGAATTATTTTAAGCACAGTTTGATTCAGCAAACTGGGTATCTAGGTTTAAGTAAACAATTCTAATCTTCCCTTCCATTTGTATATTCTTCTATACTTGCCTTTTTTGAAAAAAAGAGGATGTCTTCCTTAGAAGCAACCATTAAAACACAATCTCCCATCATACACAGATTTTGATATAAAAGTGATGGTTTCTGCTAGTAATAGACATAAATAGGTAAGTGTTTTTAAATATTGTAAATTTTCAAATCTGAAGAAAATTAATGAGACATTTAAGTGATACACTAAACCTTTCTACCAATTATGTTAAACATGATGCATGAAAAAGCAGCCTGTACTAAAACCCACCTGGTCTATAACTTTATAGGATGATTTATTAATGGTGATGTTTTACATACACTATTGGAATACGTAATATGAGAACAGACTACATATTGTACTACTGATTCTACCTCATATTTATCTGAATTATCCTAATTTTTCAGCTGCAGTTGTTTTTTTTTTTTTTCAGACAATGCAGAATACCTTAATTTTGCTCCACCAGGAAATCTAGATTTTTAAGAAACTGTATGTTTCTAACCAGCCCAAAAATTATACTAGCAGCTGTAAATCACGCAATAATAGATCAGTAATCACAAAGTTAGTAAAAAGACATGGAATAGTTATGGGGTACACCTGGGTCTTTGTAGAGCATTTTGGCTTCCTAGAACAACATTGGTTAGATTCAAATAAATACAAGTAAAGAATATATTGTGAAATGTTAATGGAACTATTATCTTGACAACACTTCAGTTAACCCTGGAGGCTAGAGGCTCACTGCTATTACAAAAGGGCTTGTTTCTTTGATAATTCTCTTAAGAACAATAATACTATGCTACATCATGCTGCCTTTGTCTCCTAACAGTAACATCCCAAAACTGAGTAAGAACATTTAAGTTTGGCCTGGGTGCCAGCTAAAACACTGACGCATGCAGGTGATTAAACACAACCCATGCTAAAATCCACCTGTCATTCTTATTATATTAATACCACTACATTATAGACTTATTAATGCATACAGCAGTCTAATATCATGTATCACATTACTAATGCAACACTGTCTTGAACTAAAGCAGAAACGAATCCAGTGATTTTCAGAGAGATTTCACTGACTTAGCCTACAAGAACTGCCACAATCAACAAGTCTAAAGAGCAAACTCTGGCAATAATGACACTGATAAAAAGAAAAAAAAAAAAAAGGCAGTAAGTCAGAATTTGAAGACACAAAATGAAACATGTCACTTCCAATTCTATCTACACTCTTCAAATTTTGCAGCAGCAAAGAACTCCATTTAAAAAAAGAAAAAAAAAAAAGTTTTAAAGACTAATCAATCTCTGTATGCTTCCCAAGGTAAGAATTTCCTGGTATAATTCTGCTTCTCCCAGGAGTTCCACCTACCTACTCTTGGGCTGCTCTACAGTTAAAAGTAAAAAAATCTAGCTGCTAAAGTGAAGAGTTTCATGGTCTAATGCCAAACAATAACTTGTAGTCAGCTTGATTAATTCACATAAATTAATCTGACTTTCTTCAAACCTCTCCTAGGTACTATGCTCATCTTTTCAATTCCTGTTGATGGTCTCTTGAGCAGCAATAAGGCCTTTCTATCATTAGCCAGTAGAAACATTCACAGTAGGAAATCAGCATATTCAGTACACGTAGAACTTAAAGGATTAAGAGACAGGATTTATACCTATAAAGATATTTTACATGCAGCCAGGTCATGCTAGTCAACCAGTAGCTAAAATAGTAAACCATGCAATAGAAAAATTCCCCAGAGCCCAAACCCCTTTACTTGACAGAAGATATCTGCCATTTAATACCCTAAAAAGGAGCAATTCATGATTCACATGCACATTTTTTTAAAATACTGGACACATTCATCCAGATAAGAGTTCTGTGATGAGGCCCTGTGTAATACCAAAACCAGTTAACCTAACATGAAAATTATATTACACCCAGCAGGCCTGGCTAGTCTTCAGATTCCAGAGAAGTGATGTTTGCCTCCAGCAGATCACAAATGATTACTGTTCTCTTATTTCATTCATCTCATTATTTTGACTACAGTGTGATTGGAAGAAAACAAAGGGAGTACCCCAGCAATCAGAATCTAACTTGTTATTGCTCATAAAGAACTCTTATTTATAAGACAGCTTATTCACAGAAAATTTTTTTACAAATTAATATTTTTATTACAAAAAGGATTTCTTACAATGCATTAAATACATAGAAGTATGCACACCGAGCTAAAAATAATCCTTAAAAGTCTGGATGGCAACTGCAACACTCTCGTCAAAAGTTTACATGAACAAAAAAAGGAGATGTAGAAAAGAAGACACTATGAGAGGAAAAATCTGACAACTCACATGAACAGTCACATTTCTCATCCCATTATATCATCTCATCATATTTTTCATATAATACAGAAGAATAATAGGTAATGCATACTCAGCAGCTGTTACCAAGATTAACACTTTTTCAGTAGCTAAAATTTTACTCTACTCTACAATCTTTGAAGCAACTTATTTGTAACCTAGAAGCCACACTCCAAGGAACACAAAAATATTTCTTTTTTTCTTAATATGCTGGTCTTCAAATTGTTTTCTACTCTTTTTCTACCACATTAGCCCAAATATCTAAATTTGGATCAAAATTTTTACTTCAACAAGAATAAAAGAGGAAAATAGAACTCATCTAGACAAATCAAGAGCAAGCTCTGTCATTTTATTGCATTTACATACAAGACCTACTAAATAATGTAGCCTCTAAGGCTATATCTGTCGCTTCTGATTCCGTTTTACCTTGTTTGATGTACAATGTTGGAGAAAGGCTGCTTCTGAATCACAACTGCATGGGAAAAAGACCTTGTCTAACCACAGGAACAGCTGAACTCAAATCTTCAGACTATTAGTATGTAATCTGGGGTAAAGTCACTTGGGACTATAATTTTTTAAAATTTCTTATAATGATTATTCTTAATCTCTAACAAAAGAATAACACTAGCTGGCCCACAGAGGAAGAAAGATGACAGATAAGACAAGGACTTACTCCAGTTACCCATTTCATCTGAAACAAACATAACTGACCCAAACCACCCTAATTCTCTGTATTTTCCACTTAATTTTCACAGCTGAATTGGGAAAGCACAAAAATATCCTCATCCCTGTATCACACAACTTTGATAAATGAACAGATCTTCTAAGACAGAAGAAAACTTTCACCCAACACCAGCACAATTCAATAAAGACGAGTTCCATCTCAACATCTCTGACAAAACCTTAACTTCCTTCAAAAAGGGCAAAACTTCAAGGAAACCTATACCCATTATACAAACAACTGCAGTAAAAGCTAATCAGAATTCTTCAAAATACAAATTATATTTCTATCACTTTTCGCTTCAGTTCTCTTGTGCATTAAAGCTGCTAGCTTGCATGCAGGCAAGAAGGTAAGCAACAAACTGAACAAATTTACAGTTCTAGTAGCAATGCTACATGCTCAACTCTGTGCTTTGACACTCTGCAAGGATAGTACACATAGGTAGTCCAGCTTGTTTCTAAACAGAAGGGACTGGACTGACAACACATATCTATTTGTAGTTCAAAATAAGTTCATGTTTCTTCATGATCAGTTTTAAATCGGCATACTCAACAATCAGATGCTTCTATCTCAAAGAGCATTGCTGCAGTCTTCCGTTTGTCAGCTATTTAGACTAAAAGCATCCTTGATCTGTACCTGAAAGGTCGCAACGCAGTATGGTCTAACTCCTTACCTGTAAGTCTGTCTTCAACCATTTGGAGTCAAACCTGGCCTGAGCAGTCAGACAAAAAGATTCAGAAGACATGTTTCCTTCTCCAGCCTTCGTGAGCAGCCCAACCTGCCACAGAATGAGAAAAACATCAACCTAGTACATGAGATAAACCACACAAGGTTATTTTTGTTCAGTCTAGCATGGCTTCCACCTGATCTTTAAAAATTTACCGTGAATAAGGACCTCCCTTTTTCACGTGCCCTGAAATTGCACAGGGAGAAAACGCATTAGGATCACTATTTGAATCGCCTCCAAAATCCCCCTGCTTCCCTGCCCTGTAGGGTTTGTGGAGGGAAGCCTCCCTTCTGCTGCACTGAGCTACCTCAGAGGCCTAACGCTGCCCCTCAGACCCATAAGTGGTGCATGAAATAAATAATTGATCGCAGATTACGCAAGC